CACACACACACACACACACACACACACACACACACACACACACTCATGCCTTATTTCAGATCTTGCTAATTACTCATGATTTTATTTTTCAGTGCTGAGTGTACAATAAACATACACAACTAAGAATATGTACTACATGACTACTGGACTGTGTTTAGAACCCTTCTCTGCTACTGGTTGAAGGGTTAGAAGGTCATGGGTCTGTTAGATGGGATTATATTTCTCTTATCAGCTTCCATCTAGGCAGCTTTTGAGTTGAGCTACCTTCTTATGTCCCTCTCAAACCTGTCTCTCCAAACACATTGGCACACCTTTCATTTCTGAATTATCTGCTCATAAACATAAAATGAGCATCTCCCACTGTTACAGAAAGTGAGTGCATGGAGTTCACTGGGGCAGAAACCAGTGTTCATCACTCCACAGATTGGAATTGTGTCACATAAAAAGTTTTAAGTAAAATACTTTGAAAAATGATGATTCCGGGGCTGGAGAGATGGTTCAGTGGTGAAGAACACTGGCTGTTCTTGAAGAAGACCCAGGTTTGAATCCCAGCACCCACATGGCAGCTAACAACTGTCTGTAACTCCAGTTCCAGGGGATCCAATGGCCTCTTCTGACCTCTGCGGGCATTGCACAACATGGGTGCACTTACATACATGCAGGCAATACACTCATACACATAGAATAAAAATAATTTAAAAAAAAGAAAACTGATGATTCCCACTACAAATATTGAATGAGAAAACTAATACCCAGAATATGCATACAACTATAAATATAAGGTATCTTAAAGTTTAAGGGAATGTCTAAGCTCCAATAAACTCAGAACTATAAATGCCACAGCAACACCATTGAAAAAAAAAACCTTATATTGATTACAAACTTGGCCTTTAAGTTTGAGAAACAAACATTAAAGTTTTTGTTTTAATCATGCTGAAAATGGATAATTTTGACTGAAATTTCAAAAATTAAATTAAAAATTCATTTTTCAAAAAACACAGTCCTAAATAAAGTGAAACTGATAATTAGCTTTCAAATGAGGCCTGACTTGGATGTGTAAGTGCTTCCTTCTGGAATTGCTAAATTCTTAAAACTTCAGTAATACTTCTGGGAAATATAACAATTCGCTATTATTTTAAAATACAGTGTCCTTTTCCAATTATGATTGTGTAATTTTTGCTTTGTGGCAAGAAAATGCTTACTTTTCAGTACTGAATGTCACTCATCTCAGCAGACAGATTTTGAAGTTGCCAATTAAAAGATATTTCTCAGCAACTTCTCTGCACGATAAACCAACTTTGTCTCTGTCTCCTATTCATCAAAAGATATTTACATTAAAAATCCTTTAAGGTATTCCTCAGCAAACTCTAACCCTGGGGCTTCATCAAATTTGTGTAGTCTTTACAAGTCATTGCTGAAGGGCCTGCTTAATATCTAGGTAAAGCAAGAAAATGGGATGTTTTCCATAAAGGCTAACAAACAACAGAGATCAAAGGCACAATTTTTCTCCTAATCTGTATAGTCTAACTTGGTTATGATTAAAGAATGATTTTAATCGTCAAACTTTTTAATTTTATTAAAAGTTTGTGGTAATGAATTGAATGAATCCCAGATATACATAAACAGGCAGCTGTTTGCAATTTGCATTTTTATCAGTTTTGAAAGAGCACAAAGAACTTCCTGCATCTTTTTTAAGAATTTACATTTTATCATCTTTGGCTATCCACTATTACACCATGGAGTACTTGAATATCTCATTCTTTGAATTTTCATTTTTGATTGTAAATCAGATGATGGTTGGCACTTTTCTCTTTTCTCATTGTTCTCTTCTCTCACTTGCTCCCATTTCTTCTTGGTTCTAATAATAAAATACACAAAATATTTCATTTTCTTTACACTATCATTCAGGGCATCAACAATTCATATTTCTTTTGTTAAATGCCTTGAAATCTAAAGGCAAATCCAAAACCGAGCATATTTTTGTATTCATAAATTTTCAAAAAGCTATTCAAGTTTATTCCATTTCTTTTCAATGGTTTTTGAGGATTGTATTTAGGTAGAAGGCTGGTGAGGGAATGAACTAATGCCACATGGAAGTCTGCATTTGTGGGGCACCAGAATGAACATTCTGTCATGTGGAGACTGGTACCTCCATATTCACCATGGCTATATCCCTATTAGACCAGACATGTGGCCACAAGGGAAGACTAACAATGTGAAGATCTCTAGCCATCTTCAGCTTCTGTCCCTAATTCCCACGGGCAGTCAACCCTTTCCTCTCCATCTCCATTACACTCAGAGCATCCTGCAACATTTTCCCAAAAGACTCCTCTTGCCCATTTACACTTCTGTGGTCTTGGTTGCCAGAGCCTCAGAGGAACAGACAAGTGGAAGCTTGTGCTTTCTGCCTCCCCTCTGGCAGTCCATCTGTCCACTGGGAAATGCTAAAACTGCTGCTCCGTGTCCTAGCAAGAATATATGGGGGGCAAATCTTAAGCTAATCTTTCTCTTTTCATTCTGAGGATAATAAAAACTGGAAAAGATGAGTTTGGGAGTTCCAAATTTCCCAATCAAAATAAAGTGAGGAAACAAACTTTTGTTTTATAATATACTAGATATAAACTTTATAAAATATTTTATGTTTCTGGAATCTAAGTCCTCATTCTTCCTGATGGTGAAACACAGCAAGTCCTTTGCACACAGATTCATTCCAATTCAGTAATTTTTTAGTTATTAACTTTCATATTTAAAGATTTTTTTCCTGTAGTTTTGTCCCTACCCTGGCCTCTGTGGCAGCTAGGGAAAGAACACATCGTTGCAACAGACTTGACATGGTTGATTCTAGAGCCAGGTAACCACGGTTTCATGAACTTTAATATGCATCCCAATCACCTGGGGTTGCTGTCAAGATGAACACTCTGACACAGGGCATATAAAAGAGATTTCACATTTCTGATGTTCTCCCAGGTGATATCATTGTAGCTGATCCTCAGATCTTACTCAGGGAACAAGGGCTTGTACCCTGGGTGCTGGGACTGCTTTCTAGTTCTCTCTTTGGCAGAGGCAATCTGTTGGAATTACAGCTATCTACCACTCCCATTCCAATAGGGCCCAACAACAAGAGCATCTTTCTGACACACATCACTTCTGCTGCAGCAGAACAGCTTGTATACTCACTGGCCTGTCTCATGAGAGCCATCTCCCATTTGAGGCCCACAGGAGTATATGATGCCCTCCTTGGCACTTGGACTTCTCAAGAAGTTGTCTCCAGCCATCTCATGTGGCATGGCCTGCCTTTCCACTAAAAAAACATGACATTGAGAAATTCTCTACAAAGGTTTCTCCCTACTTTGCATTTGAGAACTGCAATGTAGTCCTGCCTGGATGCATGGATCCTGTGATGCACACAGGTGATATAGTGCCACAAGCTGAAGTAATGTTTTCTTCCCTAGATACTTTGATGGTTGCTGTTTAGCTTTTGGTTTTGGAGAGGAAAAGGCTACTGGGAGAAAACAAGACAAGAATTCTGGCAGTAACAGGGAAACCGCATTCTTAATAACTCAAATGCATCCCTCTCATGCGGAAATCACGGGAAGAAAACCTGTAACTTAGCCTTTTCTAGTTTCCTCCAGGATTTTAATCAATCAATTTGCCTCTTTCTCACTGTGCCCTCCCACCAAAATTTAAAATTGATCTCATGTGACGATCCACACATAATTAAAAGAAAATATAGTCAGTTAAATAACTCTGTACTGATGTTTTCTTGCAGTGGAATTTGGTTTGTAAGAAGATGAGGGGACAAAAAAAAAGTTGTCACCAGTACATAAATTTATCCAGAGCTCTGGGTACTGACTCACAGCTCAGTCAAGCAAGGTTTCAAGAAGTGTCTTGTAAGCTGGTTACTTGGGCAAAGGGAAACTGTCTGGTCTTTATGTATCCCTCCTGGAAGGCCCTGATACAGGAGCTTTTTGAAAATTCTAGGAAACTCATTTAGGTACAAGTTCCCTACCTGGAGTTTTCTTTTCTGAAAGAGTCGGTTGTCTGAGAAGCAAGTATATTATTTGTGATTTTTCTGAACCGGCTAAAAGCCACCTGAAGTCAGGGCCCCCTCAGATCTCTAACCTGGGAAGATTCTCAGCATTGCTGTCACCTCCAAGACCAGAAGGTACAACAAGGGGGAGAATGTAGCCACTTGATAAAAATTCATCTTATGTACTGCTAGGATACGCCAGCCTATTTGTCTGTGATAGATACAGTAAGACACAGTATCCTATTTGCATCCAAATATGGTTTTCGATATTTGCTGTTTAGTACAGCAAAGAGAAAAATCTATGTAGTTATAACAAGTACCATGTCTTTATCAAAAGGTTTTCTGTTAACACATAGATAGGCAAAGATGAAAACAGTGAAACAAAGTAACATCAAATTACCACTGTACAAAGTGACTACTAAATTCCAAGTATTTGTGTGTAATTAAGTGATCTTGAAATATTTACTCATTTAAAGTCTTCTAAAATACATTCCTTGAAATTAAAAGCCTGTCATTCATTTTCAGGACAGCATAGTGCATTGAAGTCACCAGTGAATATTTACCTGGATATATCTTTTCGGTTTTTGAATATGTTTTTGAAAAAGGAATTCTTCTTCTCCAGGCTGAACTATTATAGGATGTTGACATACGTTTGTCTGAAAACAGTAAGACTGCAATTAAATATTTCTGATTTCAAAAATTATATTCCATGAACATTTCAAAGTTATGAACCTCTCATTAGTAAAAGAGAATCTAAATGCTTCATTTTACCATTCCAAAAGCTAAGTCAACAGGGATACAAATGAGTTTATTAATCCCATTTCAATTATCAGCAAGGATGGTTATAGATATATGAATTGGCTGTTCATTTTCTCAAATAAGGACTTTCCCATGAGGCTAATCTGGAAGACAGAACAATATCCAGATACAACCAAAATATATGATGATCTTTCTTCTGTGATCTAATGTTCCTACCAACATTTGGAAAGTTTTATTTAAAAACAACAACACAAGTCCCATTTCCTTCCATGAAATGCCTTCTATGATCATAGTGATCACTGAACTAGTGAACGCTCAGCCCCAGGAAGCTGAAGCATACACACGTGCACACACACAAACACACACACACACACACACACACACACACACATACACACACACACACACACACCATACACATAAACACACACTCTCTATCATCCATGCACACACAAACCACACACATACACACACAATACATACACACAC